CGTTACGCTCGCCACGACTCCACCAGGATGGTTCCTGGTCGCGCGAATAGAATAGACATTCGTTTCATTAATTCAATGTGATTTATTTGAAAGAAAAGGAACGCAAAAAAAATAATTCATCGTTTTGAGTCTATTCGATTGAAAAGCGTTGAATACGATTATTTCCCAAATCAACGACATAGAGATTGCCATGTCGATCGAAGGACAAACCTTCAAGAGGATTGAACTGATTTGCTCCTGCTCCTTCACCATTTCCACCCACAATGACAGTGCCCTTTTTCGCTCCTTTAGGCCAACGCATCACTCGATGATTCGACGAGTCTGCTACATAGATGGTACCCAATGTATCGACGAACAGTCCTTTAGGATAATACAACCGTGTCAGAGCACTCCCTTCCCCTTGACCTCCAGCAACGACAATTCCTTCTTTCGCACCTTTATTCCATTTCATTACACGGTGATTGTTTGGGTCTGACACGTAGACAGTCTGTTGTTGATCGACAAAGATGTAGGCCGGACAGTTGAGCTGATTGAGACCAGCACCTTCGCCATTGCCACCAGCCACAATAGTTCCATTCTTGTCTCCTATTTGATATCGGCTTACTTCATGTTTGTCGCGGTCAGAGATGTAGAGATATCTCTGATCATCCATGGCCAATCCATAACAATGGATGTTGTCGATGAGGATTTCTCCTTGAGTTGTACCATTACGACGAGACCATCGTACGACTCGTCGATTGTTCCGGTCACAAATAATGAGACTATCCGTCTTTTTGTCAATCAACACATCGGTTGGACAATACAATTGATTCAATCGATTTCCTTGGCCATTGCCACCAGCTACAACTTGTCCATTCTTATCACCCATCTTCCATTGGATGATACGATCATTGTAGCAGTCAGCGATGACCATCGCTTGATCATCATCAACGAAGAGACCCCAAGGGCGGGAGAGTTGATTGGTAGCACTGCCTTCTCCATGGTCTCCAGCAACGGTCATCCCATTCTGTGCCCATCGGGCATTGGTTGGAATATTGGGAATTACTACAATGAACGAAAAAGAAAAGAAATCGTCGTTGTCGAAAGGATCCCGTCTCTCGTGGGAGCAAGCGTTACAAATACGACATTCGTCTTGGAGAACGCTCATTCCACAGATAAAAATTCAGAAGTCTTTTTCTAGTTTCTTATGAGAAAAAAGGATTTGCTAACGATCCTTACATATATGTCATTTTTAATTCTTCCCAAGATGCTTTTGATCATAAAAAGAACGCCTGGAGATTGCTGTAAGGAGTTTCTCGAAGAAAGAGTAATGCTAATTCCATGTAAGTTTTTGATGGAAAAACATAAGGATCTGAGAATTTTATTCAGAATTGCAAGAATTTAGAATCTTTTTGGCAGAATGATCATTTATATGAACATCAGAGAAGATTCTATCTGTATCTTGTGAGAAGAATATCGAATCGTTGAACAACAAAATATCAAACCTAATCCCTATGTTTTTTAGGAAAGCTTAAGGATACATGATTTCCTGCATGATGAATGTAGATCTGCGGAAGAATCTCCTAAGTATTTGCGTAGAGAATGCCGGTAAGATTTTATAAGGCTTTTGGTAAGTTATGTCAAGCTGTTCGAAGAACAACCGTGATGTACTCTGAGTAGGATCATGAGAAGGTTTGGATACAGGCGAAACTGAACAAAGTTGAGAGGATTCCACGCGAATCTATGTAATATGAGAGGGCTTCTACTTTTGCAAATGCTGAAAAGATGGATGTCAATCCGAACGGAGCTCTCCAGTGACAAACATTGAGATCTATGGATTTTATGGGCTTTGAAAAGGGCGACGATAATGGGATAGGCAGAAAGTGTTCTAAAATGCTATTTTTAACTTTTGATGAACACCATCTTCAAACCATTGTATTAGGGTCCTCGAAGAGAATCTTGATGACTAAATAAGATACTCTGTCAAAATCTGAAAATCTAAAAATAATGAGTATCTTCTATGAGGATCATATTATAATCCTTATGTAGTACTTGTTCTGAGAAGTCTTCTGTAAGTTCGCATGTTATACATATGTTCAGGAAGATCTGAAGAGTAAGTATTTTGGAATAGTTAATATCAGAGATGGGCAATTCCAACTCCAAAGTTGATGCTTTTTCTCATCAGAGTGAAAATGGAATAGGAACAGGACAGAATGGAGGTGCCTATCGTTAAGTTTTATGAGAAAGTTTATAAAGCAATAAATTAATATGCTACTAATTTGTATCAATCGTAGATTTAATTATGTTCAAAAACTTATGTGTATTTAAGAGTATTTTGGCAGAAGTTCAGTTTTGTAAAATGCGACTCGAATTGAATTTAAATTGAAGTTGGAGTAGGATCTTAGAAAACAGGACTGGAGTTATGTGGAGTTGGAGGAAGACAGAGTGTAGTTGCTCATCTCTGTTTAGTACACAAATGTTGATCCTAATCAGTACCTAGGACGCCTTCTCTGGAATATTAGGAATTACTACAATGAACGAAACAGAAAAGAGATCGTCATTATCGAAGAGATTTTCGTCGCTCATACACGAGAAAGTACTATAAATAGACAGTGTTTCTGTAACGTAGTCTTTAAAAAAAAGCACATCGTAAGGAAATGCTTTCGATGTCGAGGAAGAGAAAACTGCTTAATATGAAATTCTAAGGAGATTTCTATGTTCTACTTTAGTATCAGAATTTGAAAAGGAAATCTTACGATTCTTTCAGCGATATTCAGCTCATTTTCGTATGATATAGGATGTTCGAAAGAAGAAAAAAAATGATGAAATGAAATATCAAGATGCTTAAAGTCGTGTGCACTTTAAATTTTTATGATAGAGGTTGAAAAACGATCTCTATAATACATTAATTAGGATTTGTGTCTAAGCTGCTCTTTTAATTGTATAACTTTTTTTTTTATAAAAGTAAATCCTTTTTCCAATTAAGCATAAACTATCATTCATCAGCCATGTTTGATACTTGTGATACAATATCATCTTAATACATTGAGTAGTTTCATTAGACTAAAAGGACTTTCATTAAAATGATGAAAACTCGTTATAGTTTTATCAAAAAAA